ATCTGCTACGGGTTATTTTATATGCTATTTGTGCAGCAGCAGTATGTCTTAAATACTCACGGCACCGTATCGCCGTATGCATTGGCAGTAGCAAGTTCCTGTACTTGCTTGCAGCAGCAGCAATAATCTTCAACTACAGCAATAACCAACAGCAGCAGCAGCAGCAATGCAGCAGCAGCAGCATAGCAGATCTGTTCCGCCAAGACCAAATACATTAACATTGTCATGTACATTACCATGCTAAAATCTTCCGAGAGTTGTCATGATTGAACTACAGTTAAACACTATATACACACCACTTTTACTATTGATTGATGAGATCAGCAGGGAAATCAAAATCACTTTGAGGTGTTTTTGTTGTTGTTGTTTTTTTTGGAAATTGTAAACAAAGAAACCGATGTAAATGATGAAATATTCGTAATGATAACGCAACACTAATAATGCTATGCGTTTATCAGAGTGTTGCTATTTGTTCGCTAGGGTGTTCTGGGTGGTTGAGTCACAGTCTCTGTGATATTCTTACTCTAAATATGACTCACGTCCCTCAAATAATATCGTAATATATTATGATATTTACTGTAATATTATGAGATTATCAGTTTGTCGTCCACCATGTGAAATTGGCAGATCTAAACTGAACTGAACTGGTCATAAATAAAATGACGCTAATGTAATGTTTCTGTAGTGGCATATTAGAAAGTGAGTTTTGAAAAAGTGAGTAAGAAAATTATATTGCTCTAAATAATTTTTAAAAGATATATTGATATTTTTGGAGTTGCTTTTTGTCACATTGTACCTGCAACTATTTGTTGACATTAATTTGATCTTTTGTGTAATGTTTGACTGCTTATCATATTTCTTGTTTGCTTCTCCAAAGATAGATGGATAGACAGACAGAAATAAATAGATCTTAAAAAGATGATAAACAACTTAATTTTAGCTTTAATAATTCCAAATAGTTTTTAATATTTCCTGCTTTCCTTTAGATTCAGTCAGCTATTTTGGTTTTGCATTTAGGTATTTAATTCTGACGCTTAATTTAATTCTGGTCAGATGTCACTTGTACTACTTAAGTTAGACAATGATATAATGAAGTTTTCATGAGCTTTATTTTGTGGGAATCATTTATGTTTGTATAAAGTGTCAGGCTTGTACATTTGGTTTTTGAGGGAATATTTGGGATGTCTTTATAGATTTAGACAAGCTCTGACATGCTTATGAGTGAGTGTGTGTGTGTGTGTGTGTGTGTGTGTGTATGAGAGAGAGAGACCTCATCAGATGATGATGAACTTGTCTTCATCTATAAAGAAGCATATTTTTAAAGTGTGGTTATATAGTGTGATCCAATGTGTAAGCATATTTCAAAAGTTTATTTCTGTTTGTTTTTTCCTGCAGTACTCTCCACTGCTTAAGAAGCTGTATTGTCAGATCGCCAAGACCTGTCCGATTCAGATCAAACTGGCTTCCTCGCCCCCAAACGGCGGTGTGATTCGAGCCATGCCCATCTACAAGAAAGCCGAACACGTCACAGAGGTGGTCAAACGCTGTCCTAACCATGAACTCGGACGGGACTTCAATGAAAGTATGTCAAATTCATTCTTTTTTGATAAATAAAGTTTATCAAGACATTAGAACATTTTTTAAAAATAAATACATGCAATAATAATAATATAAGTTTTATGCGTTTATTATAAGTAATATAAGTTTTTTCCTTCCAGAGTCATTCCTAGTCATAAAACATTTAAACGGCAGCAGATTTAAAAACAGTTTTACATCAGTAGAATTTATTGTTTATTTGTTATTTTGTTATAACAAAATAAAATGTGCTTAATGTAGTAACATTTTCATCAACGTTTTTTTTTAAAGGGGTCATATGATGCGATTTCAATTTTTCCTTTCTCTTTGGAGTGTTACAAGCTCTTGGTGCATAAAGAAGATCTGTAAAGTTGCAAAGACTAAAGTCTCAAATCCAAATATTCTTTATAAAAGTTAAGAGTCAACCACGCCTACCTAAAACAGCTCGGTTCTAACACGCCCCCACATGTCTATGTCACTATGTGGGAAGATTTGCATAACGCCGGCCAAATGTTCATGCAAAGAAAGAAGGCGTAACTTTTAATCTCGCCGTAGTATTGTTGTTGCCGCTGCCGCCATGTCGTGAAGGCGCTGTGTGTTTCGTTGTGAAAGCGAAACTACTTTGTTTGGTCTTCCAAAAGAGGACGATATCCGCTTCGTCATGCCTGGAGCTGATCCGTGCTGGTCGCTGAGGAAATACATCAACTTCGCGCTGTGGATCGCCGGATCGGCTTTCACCGTGGACGAAGCGGAGTCCAGCCCACTGGTCTCCGCTCACTCAAGCACGCCGTGTGTGATGCTGTGTGTTTCGTTGTGAAAGTGAAACTACTTTGTTTGGTCTTCCAAAAATCTTGCCACTGACGATTCAAACGTGAGTTTTGGGCAGTGTAGAGTAGCGCTTGTTGTTTGTCATTTCTCCGATCACAAATGCAGACATGGTTTTATGTTTACGCGGCGCGATGCAATGCAACACGTAAAAAGACAGTATAAGTCATTATAATCTGTAAATATGTCCCCACTGGATGCAACAAATGCCTCGTTTATAATGGGTTTGAATGTTTTTGTCTCGTCGTGCCGGGACACGGGATCACAGTATGGTAGGGGCGTAACATTTCCGTCACACGCTTGAGGTATTCGGCCAATCACAATGCACTGGATAGCTGGCCAATCAGAGCACACCTCGCTTTTCAGACTGATGAGCTTTGTAAAAATCGATGTGTTTCAGAAAGGCGGGGCATAGAGGAGAAACAATAATGTACAATATGTGGAAAATACACAAAATATGACCTCTTTAATATATTTTTTAAACAATTTTTTTTAATTAATATTAATTATTAATATTACCTAACCTGATAACACAAGGTTACATAAACAAGTCATTTTTAAGTGTTAGATCATGTAGGAAAAAAACCCCGTAAAAAATTCAGGTTACAACTTTTTAAAGTGTACTGTAATAAATTGTAAAACTTGTGAAACCAACAGTTATAGATACATGTATCTATTTTAAGATCTGAACATGCATGCAGCAAAATATAACATTTCAGAACTAGTGAACTGCTCTGTAATAATAGTCTGTTTCAATATAAGATATACATTTGAACAAAATATGGTTACACTTTATTTTATGGTGTCCTTGTTACAGTGTAATTATACATTTAAGTGCTGAGTAATATTAATTAACTACATGTACTTACTATATGCTTATGGTTAGGATTAGGGTTTGACTTAGGGTTACTTGCATGTAATTATGCATAATTAATTGTTATTATAATAGTATGTACATGTAACATGTGTAACAAGGACATCTTAAAGGGGTCATAGGATGCTACATGCACTTTTACAAGTTGTTTGAACTGAAATGTGTGTTGACAGTGTGTGTACCCAACCACCCTATAATGATACAAATCCACCCAGTGTTTTTTTTTTAATCTGGTTAAATGTTTTCCCCTTTCTCAAATCGAGCCGATCTCAGATGCCTGTCTGTGTGACGTCACACAGACAGGCATCTGAGATCGGCTCGATTTGAGAAAGGGGAAAACATTTAACCAGATTAAAAAAAAAACACTGGGTGGATTTGTATCATTATAGGGGGGCTGGGAA